CTTTTATATTCTACTATCGAAAAATGTCGTCAAATAACATTTAGTACTGGCATCTATCAACAATGATTGGAAAGATTATGTAATACTCAATATTTCATTTATATTTATTTCAGAATTTTTCCCCGTAGACCTATAGAAATTAGAGAGAGAAATAACACCAAATTTAAAGTTAGGTTGAAAAATAGTAGAAGTATGTTAAAAAGAAAATAATTTTAATAAACGAAAGGAAACGGAATCACTCATCTAAAAGTAATATTCCAGAATATTTGGTGCTGCCATCTGTCATTTCTGTTGCCATCTATTTATTTATTTCATCTTCATAAATTTATTTATATACTATATATATTTACATATTTATATATTTATTTACATATTTATATACATATTTATATATTTATTTACATATTTATATATTTATTTACATATTTATGTATTTATTTACATATTTATACATTTATTTATGTATTTTAGTAGTTGAGATAGGATTTTTTTTCCTGTTTTTCTAACGCCTGCTTAAAAAATTTGTAATGTAGTTAATATTAGATTTCCGGACGCAAATTTAAAATTTGTAATTTGAAAAACCACTTAAAGTTACGTGTTTTTTTCGCAGCTCGCATTTTTTACGTAATGAGATCACTATAATAGTATTTGAGTATTTTATTAACAATTAATGGATACTATACAGTAAACTTTTCATTTTAATGAAAATTTTTCCATCGAAGAAATTCCATCGAAGAACCATTAATGATCACCGTTCATTTTTAATAGTAATCTGATTAATCGGGATTAAAAAAAACAAGGCTTTGACGTATATGCCATTACATTGTTTACATTTTTACTATTCCCTACAATGATATTTTGTTGTAAAGGACATTATACGGCATTTCCAATGATGATTTTTTTTTTAATTAAATGCCATTCCTGGTATACATTTGTCTAGTAATCCTCAGACTAATGTTTTCCCTAATATACCCTAAAAGGACATTGTTATAAAAATAACTGTCGAATCGACAGTTATTAATAATATTATTAATAATAAGAAAACAAACCTGTGAAAATTAAATTCATATTTCATAAAAAAAGAATTAGCTGATGGAAAATGTTACTTTTTAACGATTGTCAATTTAAAAACAATTTTTTTTTTTTTTTGTAATAGTAATCTCAAGACCAAGCGTCTAAAACGGGACCATTTTTAACCCTCACTGACTAAAAGGGTTGATTTATGACTTAAAACGGTGCTAAATTGTAAAATGAAACATATAACAGCGGAATAGGTCTATGTAGAAAATGATCTAAGAAGGGGAAAAAAGTTCTAAAACTAGCACTTTAAAAAGATGACTGAAGTATTTTTGATGTTGCCCTCCATTAACAATGACTGTAAACATTCTGTAATACTAAATAAGCGTAATTTTATTATTATTCTGATATTTCCCCCTTTAAACATAAAGAGAGTTTAAAGCAAAGAATAACAGCATTAAAGTTGAGAATTGCGGACATACATTCAGAGCATTTCCCAGGTAGCAAAAAAATATCTAACACATTATAAAGATGCAATGTAATATTGTCTTGCTAGAAAACGCTAGACTCTTCAATCCCATCTTCTAATATTAGAACTAATAGTATTCGATCTAACATTCGAACTTTCAAAATTATCGTCTATTTCATATCTTTTGATCCAGCGCCACTTTTTTACGAAAGGGCGCCCTCATATTAATAAATCCCATGTTATTAATAAATGCAAAATAATATTACGGCGAACGCTAGATAATATTAGTTTGTATAGAATCTAATATTATGTAACGCATAGCAAACAGCTACTTTTTGTTTCTTTCTAACATTAGAAGTCGCGCAAGATAACGCTAAATTTAACTGATTTTCTGATATTATCTAATATTAAGTGCCGCTTGGGTTATTTATGAAGTACATTCTTGTAGATATGGGGGATCAGTAATTTAGCTGCATATTTCTGAAAAAAGCTAAAATATGTTCTTCAAGAGGAAAATAAATGGTAAAACGGAAAATTATGGAAATTTTGTCTAAAATAAAATATTTAGCTCTAAAATCCACAAGTTTTTTTTTCTGTTACGCGTAAGGCACAATAAAATCGTAACAAAATCAAAACAGATAAAAAAAATTTAAAAATTGTTTTGATTAAAACAACACCAAACCAATCACAAAGTTAAAACTGTAGATTAATGAACTGGTTGAAAAATAAATTGTATTATTAACATAACCACCAAACAGAAATATAAATTAACCTCAAAGTAAACTTACCTTCTTGCACTCACTTGAAAAGTAAACACTACAATCATTTTTATTTGGTCTTTTAGGATCTAATCTTCAATAAGTCATTAAAAAAGAATACGTACTAAATAGTTTCATGAACTTTTAGAAGTTAAATTAGAAAAGTCAGAATCATCTTGTTTCATTGTACTTTGGTCTACTAAGCTTCAGATTATTCATTTTTATTCCGAATTTAATATCTAGGATGATTTGGTAGGGTGCAGCCAATCCAACATGAGCACTCGGATAGCGGTTTCGAATTCCGTCGCAAATTTTGAATGTATTTTTATGATTCCACTCTCTAATTTATGTTATTGATCTATTAATTGTGCTGCAGTGGACTGAACGTGAAGACACGATTCCCTAAATAAAGTATCTACCTTATCTATTAATTCTGGGCTTTGTGGAACCACCCTGACCGAGAGGTATTGTCCTTCAAACGCTCTGTAGCGTACAGGTAGAGGGTTCGAATCTCGTCGTAACCCTGGATGTATCTTCGTGCTGTCCTTCTCTGATTTGTACTATCTGCCTCTATTTTTCAAAGGCTTATATATCGTGCTTATGTAACTGTGCACACAAGCCTACATATGTGTGTACCAATAAATAAATAAATAAATTGTACATACTGACTTGCTCGTTCAATAAATAGAAGGACTTGTAAATCCTTGTTTAACAGAAGAACAGAGAATTAGAGAAGGAATTAGTGAAGGAAAATAGGATGAAAATTAGAGAAGGACAATACAACGCTGCATATATAGTTACAGCGGGGTTTGAGCCAGCTACCTCAATGCTTCAGAACTTTTGGCGGAAGGGAACATGGAGTCCCCTAATTTGTGATATCATTTCCTCCAATCGACAGGGTTTTTTTAACTGTTCTTTGCGGCTTTCTCATATTGAGGGTTTAAATTCGAAATCTGTAAAGGAAGATTTTAGATTAAGAAAAAATACATTTTTGTGTTCGATTTCGTAAAAGTGTTTGTGTTTTCATGTTTCGTTCATATGTTCTACACATAGCAACTGAACTTAATTTTTTTTTTCAAATTGTATTTGTTTGATTTGAAAGTAAGTCGTTATAAAAACTTTTCCACAAGCCTGTGCCCGAAAAAATCCTTAGACTATCGTCGAGCACATGCAACTTAATAGCAACATTTAAACCTTTGATAAGTAAATCAGGATGATAATTTCTTCTCGTTTACTATGCAAGATGTTGTATTACGACCACCCTTAACAAGTATTTTCAGAATTTTAAGACAAAAAACTATGTGTGGTTGAAGTTGCAAATTAATACATTAGTACATATACATAGAAACTTAAATTTTTCTAAACTCTAATCAGTTATCAAGTATTGATAGCAGCGAAGGTGGGATATTAAAACCGGTTTGTTTGTGTAATGGGGCCTGGGGTACATTCAAGTTTCGCTATATAAAATATGTCCTACCTTCAAATGAATTGATTTTAGGTTGAATTAAAAACGCTTTGCTCTATCTCACTTAAATGTTAATTTGCGACCTCTAATCTGCATAGCTTTAATCTCCTTTTGTTCTCGATTCTATAAATATATGTATAAAAGATAGTCTTAAATAAATGAAGATAATTTTTGATAACTAAAAAGGAAATAAAATAAAATGAGTTTACAAATTAAAACCATAATGAAAAATCTTAGTTAATAAAAAATGAACTCGGATGTTTTCAGAATTTATGCTTTACACATGAGTAACAGCAACTCGAGAAGAAGAAAGACAGCTGAATTCAGCTGGTTGTCTATAAACAGGCGGCGTGTTAGCGGTACCGCTATTAGGTTTAGACATTTTTGGCTTATTATTAAGCTGAATCAATTTTCGGATCAGATTTAATTGGGTACCTAAAAGCGACGTCACGCGTGGGTATCCAACCTGATTGGTTGCTGAATCGTGGGATTTGCTTATACTATGTTGAGCAGCCTATTAAGATATCCTACTAGTTTCGACAATTTTTTATAAATATTGACACTAATTTTTTTAAAAAAGCTAGCTTATATTTTTTATTATTTGCAAAAACTTACAAAACTATAGCAAAAAAAATATTATAAATTTTTATTTTTTAAAAAAATGGCCATTTTTAGGTAAAAACAAGTTTTTTTTTTGCATATACGGTAAACAATGTAAAAAAATTCTTTGTGGATTTTATTTAGATGGCTATCAACTATGTTTTGAACTATTATCTTAAAAGCAAGTGTATATACTGAGTTAGGGATCAATATAGTTTAAAAAGTTGTTAAAGTATTTAAAAATTTTCGCACGAGTCTTTACGAAAAAGCAAACATAAAAAATTAAATTCTATTTCTTTCTCTTAGTCTGTAGTTCAAAACGTGTATTCTATTATCATAAACATTCATGAAAAATTGTAGACAGTTATTTTATATTGAGATAAACGCGTTTAAAGACTTAAAATCACTAGTCCATCCACTGTTATCACCTTGCACAAGAACTGCTATAACTTTGTAAATAATTGGAGTGCATTGATTAAACAAAAGAAAAGTATTTTCAGAAGGCTACGACTACAGGGATTCTAAATTTATGATAAACTTAATTTCGATCCAAAATCATGTTTTTGCATTAGTCAGATGTTTTAAGCTTGACAACAACAATTGACTAATCTTTCAGGTACCCAATTTACAAAAAAGCACTCCAAACTATACTTCACACTTTTTCATGACAGGGAACATTTAACATGTGCGATTCTTTTAACAAATGCCCATTTTATTTTCACATTTATTTCAGCTGGAAGCACATTTTACATAGTCTGTCTGAAGTTGGAAGAAACACGATTCCAAAGGATTAGAATTAAAATACTTCCATTTTTGCAATCCTCATTTCGTTCAGTTCTGCAGTAATTTTATGTTGACTGCCACTATTTAGAGGTTTACAACATGAACACATAAAATGATCACTACAAGTCAGAGCACTGAGTTTTTCTTCTTCATCAATATCCATAAGTTTTGTCAGCGATTTGTTGTTTTGTCCTTCTGTCTTCTGTTATCTCATGTCTTCTTCGCTCGTCAGGATGCAGTTTTTTATTACCATTTGTGCCACCTTTGTCAGAACCTAATGTAAGGAGAGAAAAAAATATTTCTTCAATTTAGCTTTACACAAGTTTTAAGAAAGTAAAATTGGAATCAACTATCACATGCTTACTTCACTTTCGAACCGGGCTTTTCATTGAGTGAAAAATGCACATTATTGATTAACGAGACTCAACGTCCAATATATTGGACAATATTTGATATAATTTTATGGCTTGAAAAATAATATTTTAAGATTTGATATTCTGTTCATGTGCCTCCACAAAGTGATTGTCTACGTGAAAACATAATTCGCTTCATTTTCGTTGGCTGGAGTTTTTAATTACAATAAAAAATTATAAGAGAGATAAGATATTATATTGGAGTAAACTTTCGGATAATTTTATGGTATATAAATATCTTATTATTTAAGTCTTGATAATTTTGTTTCATAACCAAAAAGAGAAATGTTACACTATAACAAAATCCCAAAACGTGTAAAATGTGTTCAAAATGAAAATTTAAAATTTTTTTAGGTACTAATCAAAAATAATTAATCAAAACATTATTTGCCTTTAATAAATGAAATTTTTTTAAATTTATTTTTCCCATATTTTCTAATCTACATATTTTAATACAGAAATATCATATATTGCCTGCTTTATTTAAAGCTTTATCTTAGGAAGTAAAATTTTTGAAATTATACAGCGGCCTAGGCCAATAGGCCCATACGCCAAATACAATGGATCATTAAAATAGGTCAACAGACAAATCAAAGTACAAGTAAAGTTATCCGTATGAATATCAGTTTGAATCAGTATGAATTTTAATTATGAAAGAAATAACATTTCAAGAAAAAACTTACAGTTTGCGTAAAATAACATGAGAAAGAATCTAAGTGAAGAAAAAATACATACGCTGCAATTTTGAATGAGACAAGAGCTCAGAATCAGAGCTTATATCACGCCTCCTGCTATTCTTTAAGGAAGGTAAGATTCCGAATCGTTTCTTCAATGGCTCATCCAATTCGTCTAATTTATGTAGTCTCTGTTTGAAATAAGCATATTTTGTAACATAAAATCATCATTTTTCAATATGAAACCAACAAGCAAATCTAACGCAACTGCAGAATATGACATTATGGCAGTCTTCTGGTTCACAAGCCAGAAATGGTTTTGTGATTCTTAAAGTTTGCTTTAGATGCTTAAAACTTGTGTTCTGAATACTAATTTAATTTTATATAGAGCGAAGTGTTTTAATATTAACGATCCTTATAATAATCGACTGCAAGACAAGAATAGTCTGTCTCATACATTCATTACTGAAGTATAAAGGAATATAACAAAAAAAAGTTCCAAATTTCTACTGTCATATGCCATAATAAAATAACAAAAATATGAATTATACTGCCAGGGGGCTAATAATTTTAGGCCCACATACGTGGTCCTCATGTTTGAACTAAGTAAAATAATATAAATATTTGAAATGTTAAATTGCTCTTAAGCTAGGAACAAGCCTGCATAATGTTGTATTATGGTCTATTTAAATACAACGATGGAGAGAGATAAATGTTTAGAAAAAATATACTTTAAGAAATACGAGATTTTTTTACAATGAGATGCAATATTAAATGCAATACCAATGCTTACTAATGCATTACTGCATGAAATCTCAGTTTCAAAACTATTTTAAATATGCAAACGAAGCAAAATAAATAACTATTCAAAAGAATGTAACATGAACTACAAAAATATATTTAATTCTTGAGGGTAAAGTTTCAAAATTAAGGGAAAAAAACTCGAAAAGTTAAAGTTATTAAGAATATGTATGTACAGTAATATAAAAGAATTAATTAAAATACATTAAAAATATTGCTAAATAGATATAAAACTGAAAACTTATAATACTATGAGATTTCTGTTGACTACCTGTCATAAATTGTCATAACATACGGGGACCTGCATGATCTTGACTGTATTTTTAAATATTAACTAAATATAAATTTAAAAGTTTCATACAGATCACAGAAATACTAATTTAAAAGAAAAAAATTATTTTTAGAATAACTAAATTATATATTAGTGAAAATTAGTTACATTTTCGAGCTAGTGGATTTAGCATCATTTTTCGAATCTCAATTCTCAATCTCAATCTCAAATCTCAGTTGAAGCTCTGTACATACAAGTTACAAATATTTGTTAAATGATGCAGACACAATTTATCTCTAACGTCCAAACGAAGTTTTGATTACTTTCTGACGTAAGCGAAAAGCACAAATAAAATTTGAAAGAAAATAATGATATAAAATAAAATATTAAAAACTAAGTTTTTCATGTGAATGAAAAAGAAGAAAATATTTTTGTCAGATCTAAAACAAAAGGCGCATCACTTTCATAATAAATTTTATTCAACACTGAAAATTAATCCCTGAAAAGTAATCCAGTGTAAACTTTTCGATTCTGTGACAAAAATTATATTATTTTCTCATTTGGATAGAATAGTTCCTAAAATTTTCATTTAATTTCTAATTTAATCCATCAGTTATTCATTTAACTATTATAACTATAGTTTTAAACCCAGGTAGCTTACCTGCGAGTTATAGTCAGATGAATCACTACTTCTTCCGTTTGAGCTGGATCTTGTTGTGGAATCTATTTGGCTGCCTATTGATCCCGATCTGGAAAATAAATAATGCATAGATTATGAATAGTCTTTCCGGTTCAATTAATATTCTTTTATTAACAAATGATGATTGAGATTACGCATGCAACTGTTTAACCAATATCCGTGACTATAAAAAATAATAATACGAGAATGTATAGGAAATTGGCACCTTTATCGAATAAAATAAATTGGAGTAGAAATTGAATGAAATTTTATTTGATTTAGTAGCAAGAAAAAAATCAGATACTTACGTATCTTACATAAAAAAAGGAGAGAAAAAAGACGTTTGGGGCACTGAAAGTCGAACAGCTATTTTCAAAACTCATGAAATATCTTCATTGTTGTTGTTGCTTACTTCTCATCTGGTCTGACGGAGTCAGATCAGATCAAAGAATCCTTATCATCCAAAAAAATCAGATCAAAGAGTCCTTATCATTCAAAAAAAATCAGATCAAAGAATCCGAATCATTCAAAAAAATCAAATCAAAGAATCCTTATCATTCAAAAAAATCAGATCAAAGAATCCTTATCATTCAAAAACATCATGTACGAGAAGAGGAGATGAATGAAATTCCTCTCATACCAGTCACAAACAGTCCAATATGTGTTCAGGAGAAGCCTGATCCTGGTGGCGCTTGGGGCAAAGTGGGTATATTTTTATACCCTCTGAAAAACGCAAACTCTTTAAGTGACCTCTGGCGAGGCGCGAGATGGTGGTACAGATTTTCCCCTCTTAAGAAAGGGTCAAGGCTAGGCCTGACCTACTAATATCCCGATACCAATGGTGAGTAGGAGATCCGTGGAGACTCAGAGCGTTCGTCTCCCAATGAGATTGAACCGGGTTCGAATCCCAGCAATAGCTGGTCAATACGAATTCCGCACATGGCCGACATGGTTAAGTATCCTCAGTGGCTGACGGATCATGGGTTTGAGTCCGCTTGCCGTTTGACTAACCGTGGAGGTTTTCGAGGTTTTACACTTCCTATGTAGCGCAAATGCGGGTTAGTTCAATCAAAAAAGTCCTCCATGAAGGCAACATTTTCCCCAATACTTGATCCTGGAGCTCCCTTGTCGTTTGGATTGGGTTCAAAATTACAGAGATACGGAGCTGTACTTTGATAGTGGTAATCTCAAAATTGGGTCGGCTGTTCAACGATGGTTATGAAATAAAATTAAATGGTCAGTAGGAGGTATCAACCAATCCGTCTTAATTTGAGATTACTTCTTTGAGAAAATATTCAAAATATGTTAGCCCTGAAGAAGAAGCGGGGAAGAGACAGTAACATGCTCTTGAAAGACTATCTGCCAAGTCATTTTCGCGTAAATTCACGTGGGACGAAATCCATTAAATATGTATATTATGCTGAAGGGTTTTGATTTGTACAGGTCCCCCATGTGGGTCCAGTTATTAAGATATTGCATTGAGCTGCGGCTACCTGTCAATATCGAAATGTCTTTTAAGTGTTAAATCAATCAATGTTTTTTTACTTATAAAAAGACCAATTATTCTCAATAAATTGAGTGCATATTGTTATAACTTAATATTATTAACGAAGCTCGAGTTTTTTTTATTTATACATTAATTTTTAAATTTCTGTATGTATGCCATGAATTATTGAGTTAAATATACTATGAATAAACATATGAAATTTTCTTTTCGTCTACACATCTAAAAATGCAACCAACATTTAAGGGTACAATTTGTTACATTCGACCTGTTGAAAGCCGAATAACATGCATTGTTTAATTTTAAAAATTAAAATGTATTGCTCACTAATTTTCATTCGCCTTTGACGAGTTTTATAATTCAGATTGATAGGTTTATTTTTTTAGTAGAATTTTTTTAAGACCAAGACCTTAAGACTCTTATCAAGTTCTCAAAACAGGGGACTCAGAAATTCAAAATTTCTTGGATCCGGGACTAACATTTAGAAACTATCATTCCATGGTAAAACAACTAGAGTACAACAGCTTTTTGTATTTAACATTTTAATAAACTTTTTCATGGTAATTGCGATCATTTAGACACCCGAGATTTGTATACTTTTGTCCCAACAATAATATTTTAAAATGTGTTTCTTGGTAAGTTTGATATCTTGCACCAAACAATGAAGGAGACAACTGTCAACCATGGGAGAAAGCTGTTTTATTTTTTAACGAACGTATCAAGCCACTAAACATTCTATTATAAATGTGCTTTTATTCAGGTTTGATTTGACAAACCAAAGAACGGAGGAGTTGTACGTCTACTACAGAAGATAACAATCTTATTTATTTTGGTCAGGGAACTTGTCAGATTATCAAAAATCCAGTTTAAAAATGATGCCGAGTTGAATATTACAGAAATACAAACGTTTACATGTAAACATACAGTACATACGAACTTTAAAAAATCTTACCTTCTTTCATGCAGTGATGAGGTGGAATTGGAAGAGTTAGAAAATCTTGATTGAGCCCTTCTGTGAGGAAGTAAAGGAGGTAATTGTGAATTTCCTGAATACTCATCGGATCCTCTTCTGAATGGTTGCCGCTTTCTTCGCATAAACAATCGTCGCTCATTGTCAATATGGTCGCTGGAATGAATAGTAGATAAGAAACTAACAGATTACACAGTAGTGGGACCAAAAGGTCTTACAAAATAAATGGTCAAAATTGTAAAAGGAGATGGGACACATCGTTCGTTCGTTCGTTGTAGTGGAACTGAGCGACTGAGGCCTTACAGCCCTTTAGATGGGGCACATCAAAAGGATTGAAATAAAATGTATCAATTATCTATCTATGACTGAAATCGTCATCATTGCGCACCACTCTTGGCGCCTCCACCGATGAGCTGTTTGTGCGTATTTGATCCAGTACTTTAATTACCAAAATTAGCTAAGTTTATATTTTCTAATAATTATTCTCTAAAATTGCATTTAAGCAGGTGGAAATCAATTCGCCATCATTGTTATCAGATCTTTAAATTGCAATAAAATAGTTATTTTCTAGGACAATTTGAATACAATTTTTTACAAAAAATAATTCAAATACATTAAATTAGAAAAAATTAAGATAATTTAGATAAATGATTTCACTAGTTAGAATACGCATGAACGGCTCGTTCATAAAGGGCAGGCGAGGTTTGCGGCTTGCGATGGTAATACATTTTAACTAAGAAACTCATTACCAGTACCCTTTCTCATTGCCAGCGCAAACAACTCTTGCACCTCTTTTGTTGCCTTCTGTACTTCTTGTGACTTAATTTTAGAAATAAGAAATGTTTTACTCATAGAAATAACTAAAGAGTCTGTCTCAGGAGTACGATATTGATCTCTTAGAAAAGATGTTTAAGACAAGTTATAAGCTAAGTACAATTTTTCTTAGGTTTTATATTTTTTTCATTCTAACGGCAAGCACTGAACTTCGTCTCGGAAGATGCTGGATTTGTTGCTCATATTACACTACTCGGTGAACACCTGTGAATCTGTGTCACGGAGATAAGCAACATGATCCAAGTCATACTGTCTCAGAGCGGGCCACATTCATAGAGATGGCCACTGTCACCCATCACAATAAAACAGAGGGCAACACACAGTGAGAACATTCCTGCTCTGAACTGGGTTTGATCCTTCAACAGTTGTTTTGCAGTCACAAAACGCTGACCGCTCGGCAACCTGGCTGGCGTGATTTATTGGGTGAGCAATTCTTTTAGGAAGCACCATATAAAGTGTATTAACGTTACCCTCAAAGTAAGAAAGACAGATAGTGCAGAGAAGAGGGTAAGAATATCCATGCTTCTGACCAAGATTCGAACCCAGATCATTTTTGACGTAAGTTAAGCTCCCTCACCACAATATACGCCGTTCGACAATACCGGGTTCATAGACTAATTGCAATTGTAAGTAGAGCCTATGCATTCGTGAACAAAGCATACAATTGTTTTTTTGTCATCACAATAAGAAATTTATAATCTGTGAATATTTCAAATTTAGTACCAAAAACAAACTGATAAAATTTTTTACAACCATTAAATATTGCGAGGAGCTCTTTCTCAATATCCGTACACTTGCGTTGGAGTCTGGGATAATGTTGAAGAAGCCATACGCAACAGGTACAAGATGGATAATTGATAAGAAGGTGGTTGGCACTGTACAGAGAAAAACTGAATCACCAAGGTTATACTTTGTTAACGAAACTAAACAATTGCTTGTAAATCCTACAGATTCCTCAGCTGAAAGACGATTTGAAGGAAGCTCCTTTTGAAGAAGAAAACAATAGTTGCTTGCTAGAAACAGATATCTAGATTCACCAGTCTCTTGACTCAGAAGAAAGATAAATCTCCCAAAGCTGCAGTTACTCACTCTGGGCGAGCCCCGAATAGACTAAATCTTTAAAGAGGGAGACGTGGCGCCAGCTATAATTAATTGTGAATTGATATATGTTAACTGTAACTTCATTTTGGATCATGTTTTATGCTTTCTGTCTTGCATCTCATCAAGGTTGTCATTAAATGTTTATACGTGATGTTAGTATATTCTCGTTAATTTAATTAACAGAATCCAGAAAGATATACAGGGTTATTCATAATTCGGTCGGCCTGTAAACGCCATTTTTCTTTGCTACTACAGGCTTCAGTGGTACATGTTACAGCCATCTACCGGCAACTGCTTAAATTAAAACTTGAATACTTTCGGAATAATTTCATATGTTCTTCTTTGCCATATTCGTCTTCGTTTTTTCAGCTGAACTAGTCACCATACTTATTATATTTTTGAATAACTGCACTATTGTAAAAATTAAATTTACTTACGCATTGTTCCCAATGGGAGGTAGAGGATTAGGTATTCCTGAATCTGAATTTTTATTGAGGTCCAAATGGTGAAGCTCCAACATACTACCGCTACTTCCTAAAGGTCGTAAACCACTTGAAGGTGGCTGAAAGAAACAATTTAAAATTAAAAATCAATGGTTGCAATATATTTGATATTTTTCAATAAGTCTTACTTGTATTTTTATATGATGAGTAGGTTTAAAAATAGTGAGTTTTCTAAATTTCTTTTGTATAAAGTATGCTTTTAAATAAAACTTTTGATGAAATTTTTTTTTAAATTATTGTTTTGAAAAAGCTTTTGACATCGAGTTGACGGAAGGAACTAGAAGTTTTTGGAAAGAAAAGCTTAAAGAAAAACAATTAAAATGTCACTAAGTACCATCAAAATGTCATTTAGTAAAGCCTTATATTATCAAAATTTCATAGCGCAAATCCATAAACTATCAAAACACAACTAATCAAAGTTTTCCATTAAGTTTCTTTATTTGTAAATTGGTTCTTTTAAAAATGGAAACAATTTAGAAAAAGTTTTCTTTAAAAAAAATGAATATTCGAATTACAACTTAAGAAAATTTCAGCTGTAATAGAACGTTTCTTGTCCATAAAAATAGAAACAATTGACCTGGTCCTTTTAAAAACAGAAACAATTTAGAAAAAGTTTTCTTTAAAAAGAAATGAATATTCGAATTACAACTAAAAAAAATTTCAGCTGCAATAGAATAATTGTCCATGAAACTTAAATGTATAATACTTAAATTCATTTTTCAGTGCAGAAAAAATTGAGTTAACTTATAATAAAAGTCAAAATAGTCTTGAAATAAAATTAAGGAAACATTAACCTTCATTAGATAGGAATTATATTGTTTTCTACTTCTTTTTCAAGAACCTCAATAAATCAAAACTTTAGTTCGTGTATTTTTAAGCTTGGAAGTTTTTCTACTGGATGTAAGAATGTGCAATGGATGTAAAAATGAGTTACAATAAGAAAAATCATTAGTTTGATTCCAAACTCGGAGATGCATTTTGATAAACATTTAATCAAACACATCTACAGAAACCTCTTTTTGAAAATTTCTATCTTTTTTTTTTTAAATTTTGAAATGCGTTTCAAATCAAAATCTTAAAGTTACAAAATTAAAACAAAAAGAGGAAAATATTATGCTTGATTAAAATAGCTAAAAATTTTAGAGAACGCAGAATTCTCAAAAAATTGAAGAATATAAAAATTTTATATACAGTTGTAACACAAAAAGTATAAAAAGTAAGTTTACATACCCTGTACAAACTGCCAAACGGACTAGTTTGGCCAAGATTAGAATTTCTATCTCCATTAAGATCTTGAATTTCTTGCTGATATATTCTGTACAACTCATTCAGTTCTTTTCTTGCATTAACTGCAGAATTTAATATTCGGTTAATTTTCAAAGATACTTTAACTATGGATGTAATATTTAACTTTCTCATTTAGTCACAGAATAATTATAATAAGTAATTATGTTTCCATTTATTTTTCCTTTAAAAAATGTCGAATTTTAATATTATATTGAAAAAGTACAGTTACTTAGTCTATATTAAAGAACATTATAATTATATACTTAATGAAAACAAAATATTGGAATCATGTTTACTATAAATATTGATATTTCTTGTGAATATGATAAATCTGGAATAAATCAATATATTGTAATTAGCAAACATTATATGAATGAAATATTCCAGCACTGTAAGACAATGCAAATTCCGTTTGCTGAAAAAAAGATTATATTTACTTATAAATCATTAGATAGTGCGTTTAAAAATTTGTAATTCGTAGGAACGGTAAGGTTAAATAATTTTTTATTAATGATATTTAATTCGTAAAAAAATTTAAATCTAATACTATATAACGTTTCTCTTAACCCCTTCCTTCTCGCTCCCGTGAAAATGACGGGGTGAGGTTTCGCCCTCTATTTCTCGCTCCCGTGATATTGACGGACTGGAATGTTTAGTAGTAAGAGCCGATAAGAATAACACTAATTCATTTCTTCTGCCCGGAAAAAATTTTATTTCTCCTTTTACACACTAGATGGCAGGGCCAGGATATTTTTAAGGTAATTATAGATAGTTATTTTATTTTAAACTAGATTTCAGCACTAATCAAATACGTAATACAAATACAAAAGTCAAAGAAATAGGCACTTTTATGACCGTTTTCTTGAAAATTAACCGATCGTTAAGAGGTTAATTAATATTACCGGTAAATTTCGTTTAATTCATACTTATTGACTCCCTTTCCAAAAACAAAACACTCATTTATGTGTGCAGCATCCAACAGTTATCTGCTTTTATTAATTCATTCCTAAAATTATCTTAATAAATATATTTTTAAGACACTCATGTTTCTCTTTATGAATTCCTGGAATTTTAGAAAAAAGAAGTGGAAGAGTCTATAGAATGGTAAAAGTAAGACAACTTTAAGAAATGTAAAACTTCTGATATCAGAACATAATAAAAAGAAGGTTAAAGACTGACTTTTTTTTTCCATTGACCTCCTGGGGAACTGACCTCCAGGCATCTGAAGGGCAAATTTGTTGACCATTTTTCAAGGGGCACTATATTAGGTGGGCAAACATTGCTCCCGCAGTTAGGACAGATAATACAGAAAATGAAAGAACATCCATGCCTCGCCCGGGATTCGAACCCAGAACCTTTCGGATGCAAGGGCAGTTCCCTGACATCTGCACAGGTCGGTCGGCTTAATAATTGAAAAACGTTGGGGGAAAAAAGGAATGATAGAATCTATAGAAAGGACAAGAAGAAGACAACTTCAGGAAAATTGGACTTGGAGATAGAAGAGACTAAATGTCAAGTTTAAGATAGAACAATGTAAAAAAAAAATAATAAAAAAAAAAAATTAAAAAAAAAAATAAATAAATAAATAAAGTGAAGAAAATCACAGAAAAGCCGAATTTGAAATAGCTTTGGAAAATTTGTATTTTTAAGAATAGAAGAAAATCGACGGTGAAGAAAAGAAGAGAAGGGATCCATAAAAAAGACAAAAAAACAAGGCAATTTTGGAAAAATGTAACTTTTGATATTTGTAGGAATTTAAAGCCCAAGCTAAAGATAGATCGACATTGAAAAAAGAAAGAGAAGTAATTCTCAGAATAGACAAAACGTGGACATAACGTTAGAAAAGTTGGATTTTCGAGATTAAGATAAGGTAAATGCCTGGATTACCGGGAAAAAATAGATTGATGTCAACGAAGATAAAGAAACTGTAGAAAAGATAAAACGTAGACAACTTTACGAAGTTGGATTTTTGAGAATAGAAGACACTAGATCGACTTTAAGAAGATGGATTTATGTTTCTAAATATAGTGAAGATTGCAACTTAGAATGATAAATATTTATTATGAATTAATTGCTTTTAAAATACTATGTTGCTTAAACAATTTTTTTCTAAAACATCTCCACTTTAGGGAAATAAAAACTCTATGTTAGAGCAGACATTTAAATAAATGTTACTTACCATTCTTTGCCTTTTCTCCAGTTGCAAGAGCTGTAAAAAAATTAATAATTGCTCATTTCAAAATAAAAAAAATCAATTAATTAATAATATTCATTTTAATTGATAATAATTTTAAATAAAAATTGAAAAACATAAGACATAATAGGCATAATAATAGACATAACTATTAATTTTACAATTTGATTTCGAAAACTGATTGAGTTATTAAGTTAAAGATAACACTTATACAGGGTTATATATAATTCCCTCCTCCTGTAAACGCCATTTTTCTTTACTACAACTGGCTTCAATGGTACATGTTACTGCCATCTATCGGTAACTGCTTAAATTAAAACTTGAATACTTTCGGAATAATTTCATATGTTCTTTTTTGCCATATTCGTCTTCGTTTTTTTACTATAACGATTCGAAACCCCGGAAGGAATTATAAATAACCCTGAACTATCAAATACTATTAAGAATTTGTTTATTAATGACTAATGATTTCTAAGAGCATACCATCAATCAAAATTCTTTGTTTCGTAATAATCTCGTCACAAAGCTGGCGCTGTCTGTCATAGCGCAATATCATTAGATCTCGACATCTCAACTCATGTTCTCTGCTTAGCTGAGAGGATTGCATTTCAAGTTCTACGTACTCATTAAAGAAAATACTTATGAACTTTTTCAATATGACATTTAAGCAAGAATATTTACAAGAATATTAGAATTTAACTTTATAACAATACATTTAACTTTATAAATATCATATAAAACTTTAAAAAAAAATTGATTTAATTCAAACATATTCAGTTTCATGAAGAAGAAAAAACTTTAATGGGTACTATTTTGATAGGGACGACTCACAGACAGTTATTTCGAATCTTTTTTCTGCCTTTGTTTCGCAAGATTATTTCGATTCAGTTGCTTAGTGTTTAATTAAATAACACAACATGCAAAGTAATTACAAGTTTTAGAAATTAACATACATTAATATGGTTACGATTTACCAGAGATTGAATTAGAAAAAAAGCAAAAGAAAATTAAAATAATGTGATGAGCATTCATAAGAAAGGAAAATAATGTCCAAAATAAAAATAATTTTTTTAAGATAAGCGTCTTTAATTTTAGAAAATATGTTTTGAACAGTTTTACCTCAGCTGTGATTTCGAATCCAAAAAGCCGTGCGTCTTTTATATGGTACTCGTATTCTGAATATCAAGAATATGTAAATGAAAATAATTTATTAAATAAATAAAGTCCCGTTTTTAAAAGTAAAAGGAAATAATTTAACAACATTTCTCAATTTTTGCTGGGGCATTGTAATTTGCCCCCCTCCCTAAAATCAGATAATTGGATCCTTAATTAACAAGGAAGATCAAAAGTTATAACAATATTCAATTGCAAAATATTTTAACTTTTCGTATTATTGCTAAATGCTCTTTTTGCCGAAAACTATTTATCAAGTATTATTTTCAAGAATTAAAATAGATTTTTAAATACAAATCAATGAATGATGTTGCAATAGTATCGGAACCGAATCATTATTTTCAAATTTTGTAAATATTTCACGAGTCTTGATTATAAGTAGCCGAAAATTGATAAGAATTTAAAACACAGGTTTGTGCAATGTTAAGCAAGGAAAGTTATTTCTGTCTAAATTTTATATATATACTATATCCCAATAAAACCAGAAACGGAACCAAATCTGCATTAAACAATAAAAAGTTTTGGGATCTATTAATGGGCAATTTTTAAATTTGGTGTAACAATCTGTTCACCGTCATGAAACAGAAGTAATTATGAAGTTGTGGCATAACTACCACTATAAATATTAAATACCGAAACCCTAGTTTATAAGACATGTTAACTTGATTCTATCTAGAGGTACCTTTTGATAGACATTGGTTGACATAGTCTAAAATTAAATTTTCGCCACAAAGTAATCATAGAGGCCAGTGAATGAAGAGAACAGGTGGCCCCTCTTATAATAAAATCTTTTTTAAAAGGCTAATTTTTTTTAATCAATGTATATTAATACAACCAATTTAAAACGAAATGAAATCTATCAACATTATTTTAAAATAAAACATACTACTCTGAAATCTTGTGATATTAACTATAAAACGAACCCCTAAAGGATACTTTCAATTTCTAGTTCATAAACTCGAGTTAGCAAGTGAAGTAATTCACGTTGTTCTCGAGAACTAGCCTTCTCTGATAAAGATTCTGTAACTGAATGAGTTTTTTGTTTGCAACTTTTATAATCAGTATCGCAATCTTCCCGCATTTCTATATACCTAAAACATCAGAAGAAAATGCGTTAATGAAAATATAGCCTTGTGTTAAAAGAAAATTTACCATTTACGAAATACAGATATTAAATTACCTTTGGTGCTGGCTTTTAATAAATTGCAGTTCCTCCCAAGCATTACGAATGTGTTCAGGCATGTCATTTTCCGCATTGTTTTTGTTGTCACTTTCACTGCTTATGCCTAAGTGGAGAAAATATTAACCAAACTTAAATATTAATAAAAAATTTGAAGGAAGCATTAATTTTCCCAGGATTAATTTAAAATTAAAGGTTATTTTTTTCTTCCAAATATACGAATATTAAGTGTATCTGATGACCGAAGTTGTATACTTATGGTGAGCAAAGTATATGTGCCTTAGACTTGTCCAAGTCTAAAGAGTGTCGCAGAAAAATTTATATTTGTGTGAACATACCACCTTATAAAATACATCACAAAAAACGTTCAGTAGTGCAGTTTTATTATAACAGGGGTCGAACATTAAACTTAATGGATTTAAAATTGAAATAAAATTACAGTAGAACTTTTGTTTTGAAATTGGACTATATTAACACTAGAAAGACTGAAACTTAGTGTATACCTATATTGCCCGAAAGCAGTCAAAATAACTGGATTGTAAAAGAATAAATAATGAGTAAAAAGAAATGTGTTTAAAATTAATTTTTAATATTTTTTTATATTATTTACAGTTATATAACAAGTTGTTAGTAAATATTAACAATAAAAAAATTATATGTCGCACAAAATTCTAAGAAATTGTGTCATTATACATCATTGTTTTTCTAATTGAAATTAAAAGCAGTCAAAATGACTTCCTTAGGCAATCTAGTGTTAAAGACTATATTAGATTCATGTCATCAAATGTTTACGTTAACTACCATAAATATAGAATTTTCCTTACAGGATTTCAATCATTTACCCTTAATCACTCTACGAAATTTATTTACATCATTGCTACTCAAGATATCAATGTTGCCTATATACGAGGTATGTAAACTTAGCGAGACTGACGATTTTAAGTTCGATTTGGCAACCTTGGAGCAACCAAAATTAAAGGGGCGGTAGGTGAAAATCTGTTACATGCCTAGTCTATGTGTGAACTCAGTAGATTAATGTGGTTGTACTAAATAACGCTACTTGAGAAATAATTTTTTGTACTGTGTTTTTTAAAATTAGTCATATGATATGGAACAATTGGGTACTTGCACTTTAAGAAGAACATAGATACCCACACACGTGACTTATGATGTCAGTGCCAGCTGATCGTTTCTAAGCAAAATGACGTGTTAAGCTAAGTTTCTCCACATAAGTTAGAATGTTAATTAACCTGAAGCTAATTCACAACGCCGTATCGCACATCGAATTTGCTGAAATATAACACTTTCTCGTCTATGTCTTTTTCTTAACTTAGATTTATTATTTGTTTATGTATTTTATTTTGACCGTGATACGTTTTTGTTTTGTGTACCTGGCCACTTCGATGCATAATTAGTTTGTTTATGTTCTACATGGCTTCATGCCTGTTTTTGTGTTAAGTAAGAAAAATATAGTGAAAGAATCTTTGCGTAAGAACATAAAATGTGTCATTTAATAAAATGGATATTTTACGGTCTTGGCTAACTCTGAATGGAATGGAAAGAACAGTTGCTAACGTAAGCAAAGGACACGTTTCAACAACCAATCAGGATCTAGGTACCCACACTATGTTACTTGCAAGCGGTATCCCATTGAGTGCCTCAAATTTTGCTTCAGACTTTGGTACATTGCAATTGACATTGTTTCAAAATACCAGAAAGCCTACGATGACAGTATTTTGTAAATAGACTAGCTTTTTCAGTAGTTTAAGGCCGGTAACGTGCATAGACTTATAAGTGCGTCTTACCTTAGACTTAACATGAAATTTGAAAATTATAACATGAAACAAAAAACACTATGAAGTGACATATGGGTATCTGTAATCATTTATTTTAAATTTATCTACTTCAATTTAAATTATTTTAATTTTAATTAATATTGAAAATTGTAATTGAGATGGATAGGTGGAATTTAGAAAAAGGTACTTATTTAAAAAAATTTTAGACGTTTACTAACTTATCACATGAAATCACCACATTGAAATTTATCTTAATAATACGAGAAAATAACCTACTAAGCTGCAATAATAATTCGGATTATCTTACAATATTAATTCACAAAATGCCTTATATTAGGACACTATCAGAAGGAAGGAAGGCGATGCGAGATTAAACATGCTGCGAAAAACCTTTAATTTTTCCAAAATCGATAGGAATGCTGACATAATCCGGGATTTTGAATTTTCCGATCGTTGATCGATAGGTAAAATGAACAGTTGAATATGCATCAGACCACTGTTCATCAGATTTTGAATGATGAATTAAATTAGAACTAAAAAAAAAAAAAAGAAATCACGCTTGCACGACTGAACATCTAAAACGGCAAAGCGGTCGGTGAAAAAGCAATATGAATATATGTATTTTTGGCCATTAACTGCATCTCCTACTATTCAGCCGACTTGAATCCAATTGACCTTTTCCCGAGATTGAAAATTCGTTCCAAGGAACGTCATTTTGGGACAGTGAAAAACACAATTTAGGTACAGTGTGATGGATGAATCGTTACCAACCCTGTTTGGCTTCTCAAGAGAGAAGACAATCTTGAATTGTACTTCTTTTCGAAAACAAAAAGAAAAAGATTATTTAAAGAAAATCAGTCCCATTACTTAATTTACACACTTCGTATATAAGCGTACTTCCAGTTTTACAAAAATAATAATTGACTTATTAAAATATGTTTTTTACTGATAATTTGCTAGTTTTAAATATTATTACCTTCATCTTCGTTTTCCAAAGCTGATACTGCTTTTTCAGTTTCCCACCTACAAAAAATACATAATTTATTGAATTTTGTATAATGTTTTGAACTTGTAACAATCTCACTTCAAGTAAAGCTTGTAAAAAACTTTACAGTGAGTTGTAAAACTCCTGACTAAGGCGAAAATTTCTTGCTATCCATATTGGAACATAAAGAAAGAGCATGAAGATACATAGCCAGAAGATGCCGCATTAAGAAAGGGACATATTTATCAAATTCATTGTTTACACATAAATGCAATCTTCTTAATCTTTATTAAATTTTTAAAAAAAAACTTCTTAGTATTTGGAATTTAACTTTTCTTGCAGTGATATTCTGCATATTGTCAGGCATTCGGTGCAATTATAATTGAAAGCATCAAAGAAAAAACCCGCTGACATTCTTTAGTATAAATAAATACAAGGTAAATTAGAAAACAAATTAAAATACTTACTCGCTTATGATCATTCCAAGTTTGTCAAATTCGATACTTTGTGCAAGTAGAGCATTGTCTATTTCCATCATTCTTCGTCTAAAGAAATGTGTTACGTCAGAAATAAATTGTAAGGGGCATATAAATACTTAAGGTAACAGATATTGTTCAAATGTGTTGCTCAAAAACTTACTTAGTGATCAAAAATGCCTAATAACAATTATAAAATGTATACAATACGCTTTCATTTCCAGTCATATTTTATGACTCGCGAATAGTTACACTCATTTTCCATAAAAGAAATCTAATATCTTTTTTTTTCTTTATCTAAACTAGTTTCTTTTAGTTAAACATACTATTAGTTCATATTTACAATATTCAAACACGAATTTGGCGCAAAAAATTCTCTCCAGTCTCCTTTAATAATTTCAATTACTGAAACCTATTTTCAAAATTTGAATATATTATTATGGAATATTTTCTCTAATTTTATCATAAATGCTTTTGAAAAAAAATTATTTTGATTTTAAAATATTTTACTTTTACGAAATTAAACTTTTCCAGTTTTCTATTTATCTCCGTTATAAGGTATATNATATATATATATACACATCTGTTCAGTATTTCTTAGAATTAAATAGGCTTGTAAATCTCATATACACTCAGCATGGTAAGAATATTAATATAAATTGGAAGTATGCTTAAAAAAGCAAAAGCATTTAAAAATTAAATACTATAAAATTATTTAATACAATTGAGTGATTTATGCAAATCTTTTTATGTGAATATAATTGTTTTTGCTGAACTTAAAATATATACGCCTTTTATTTATAAGAGTTTACAACTCTTTCTGTGGAATGTGTAGCATTGTGTAAAGCGAGAACAAATTTCCTCTTTTTTGATTGTAAAAAACCCCGTTGTCGTCTGATGGTTTGGAAGGGTTCACCAAAATTGGCAAAAATAATTCATGAATAAAGTAAATGCGTATGAGCTTGGTGTAAGCTTTAACATTTATTGCAGCTAAGATTTAACTATTCCTTTAAAATGTGTATGAACGTTAGATTCCGCATCAGCTTGAAATAAAGTATTCATTTACACAATATTTGGAATTTTTCAACCCCAAATTCTGTTAGATATTAGACCACAGTTTTTACAGAGTAGAAAGCCGAGGACATCATTGCACCAATTCAATACATACAAAGTGTTCTGTAATCTATCATTTTCGATAACATGTATCAACAGTTTTAGAATAACTGTCAAAAATGGAGCAAAAAGAGTTTTCGAGTTAGAGGTATTCAATAAAAATTTTATCCATTAAATAACAAAAACGTTATTGAAATGGCTCAAGTAATTCTTGAAAAAATGTGATTTTATAATTATCAAGAGAGCTGCTTGATTGGGTGAGGAAAAAGAGACATTGAAAGGTTATAATTTGAAGCATCTTCAAACTTTATAAAGCAATTAAAATTATTTCGCCCAGTCTTCCTCAATTATAATTCATCAATTATATACCATTTCTGGTTTATCAGTCCCTTAAATAGTGACTTTTGTCCTCAATGAGAATTTTTTCTACTCTATTTTTGGTGAGAATTTTGAAAATATATCATTGCATAACTAAATATTTCAAATTTTTTTAAAATTGCAAGGTAATAATAAATTTAGGTATTTTTCGAAGTTCAAAAGGAGACGAAGTAAAACAATCGAGCCGCGATTGCTCAATGGTTAAGGCACTGAATTATCACAGTAACGAACTGGGGTTCAATCCCCAGTGGCGGTTTGAGGTCCACCCAGCTTCAGATCGATGAAAAGCCGTTTGTAAAGGCGCCCTTTTCGAAAGTATTCAAAAGGTGGCATTTGCAACAATTATGTCATCAGTTTTGAAATCGTGTAGAGACTACACGATTTCAAAGCAGTTTCATAAAATTTTAACTCTTTGGGTGAATTATTTGCTGACCTCACATCCATTTGCGAATTGAAAGAAGATATCAGCTGTTTTTTCAATAGCTTCATTTCATCATCTGTGAGCTTTTTTTCTTCTGAAAAATAAACAAATGAAGAATAAAATAAAAATTTCATAAGTAGATATTTTAGTTATTGATTTACAAAGTAAAGAAGATTTTGAATTCTAAATCCACTGCCGAAAGAAAAACATGCCTGAAACCTTAATTCTTAGCTTAATTCATGCATTGATTTAAATTAACGGACTTGAATTGATAAAATTCTATTACATCAGAACTGTTAATTATCATAATTGAACACAGTTTATCAACTACCACATTGTGATTCTCAAGCAAATTTTTTTCTACAAAATCTCGATTTCAACAAAATTTCGTAAACGGACTAATTTCTAGTCCATTTACGAATTTTGGATCACGTGCTATTTACGAAATTAGTAGAAAACTTAAAAAAAAAAAAAAATAGAGATGATAGTTATTTTTGACAAGCTTTTACCAAAAAGGAAATATAAAAGCTGGACCATGTGTTCCGTATCAGATGTAAAAAAAAACTTTAAAAACATTTATCTTTATAGTTTGTTATTATCGGGGTAATTAGTCTAATTAAACGAGAAGCTAAACAACGTATTTTTACAAAGACATATCAAAAGCAACTATTATGTGTAAGCGGCTGGTTTTAAGAAAAAGTATTATTTTAATACAAGTCAATGAAAGTAAGAACTTTATGAGGCTGAGGAACTAGAGAGTGGGAGCATAATTAAAACTTTTTCGAACCATTTCTAATGGTTCGACATTTTGGTGCTTTTATCGGTTTAGAAGGTATAAACTAGATTATTATCTAATCTAAATTTAATTGCTCCTGTTATCTAATCAACTGAACTGCATTTATTTTTAATAAATCGCAAAATGTTATTCAGGATTATGTTTCGATAATTGGATCACCAGCAATGGAGGCTGGCTTATTGATGCCAAATACGCCTGAAAATTCCATTGCAACAATCTAAACAATCCTTATTAATATGGCTAAATAATACTGATAAATATAAATATAGTAGCAGTTAAAACACTATTAAGGTCCCCACGATGATCATTTTTCGTTTAACTTTAAAAATTAGATAAAAAGCAGAAATTAAATGAGCAGAAAATTCGTTTGAACGTTAATAAACTCTCAATCTAGATGGAGGTTTTTCAAACTTCCTGAAGTTTACTAAACAGTCAAAATGGAGAGTCTGCTAGCAATAATTACGAAATACCAGATGTGACACAATGGATACCGGCGTACGTGAATATTGAGGGTAACGAGTGTGCGGACTCCTTGGCTAAGGAAGGCAGAGGTGCCAACCAACCTTGCACCACCATCACGCTTGCACCACCATCACCACCATTCCTTCAGGAAACCCCTCATTACTGACTTTGATTGTTCCCGAATCTTAACGTCAACAATTACTAGACTAAGAACAAACCACTTTAAAGGGATGAAAATTCTTCCCGACGAAATAAGAACTTACATTCCCTGCAAGAACTGCACCGATGTCCAACTTACCCCGGATCACATTCTCGAGTGCCCAGCCCTTACCCCATACGTTTTGCAACTGGGTATGGTGCCACTGGCTTCAGAACTTCGTGATATCCTTTACAGTAATGATGTATTGGAGCTTGCGGATGCTTTTTTGAAGGCACACGAGGCCATTTAATTGTCCATGGACACGATAAAAGAAAAAAAACCCAGATGTGACCCAATGATAACAAAAATCTCTATATCTCTAAGAATACAAGATTTAAAGTCTAGTTAAAGTCTATTACACCAACTTACAAAAGCACTTCAGCCCATCAAATTTCTTTTGCTGGTAAGAATTAAAGAAACTTAAGTTTGTAAATGCAACAAAATTTTAAATCATTACTTACAAATTAAGAACGATGAAGCAAATATTAAAAAAAGACGATGGAATACCTTTGTGTCCATCAAACTCTCCGTCTTTGAAGGATGAATAATTCGAGCCCTGTATTCTTTTATGTAGAGCCGCAATTTCTTGTCTAAGTTCATTTATGATGGATTGATATTGAGCGACATGATACGACACATCAGATACATTGCTCCGGAGCTAATAAGATATTGCTTTTATTAAAAAAAACAACTTTATACCATAGAAAAAACATAAAAAATTGCTCAATGACAAAACAAATTCCGTATATTTTCTATATTTCATAGAGAGACAACCAAAACCTAGAGGTTGCTTAAATAAACCAGTTAACAAACAGTTTATTTATTTCATCAATTTTAGTGATAAATTTTTTTTTCTGGTATGAAGTTTTTAATTAATTATTAATATCACATTTTACATAACGGTGTGTAATTTATATCCAAAGTAAATGCCATGTTTTTGAAATTTGCATTAAAAAGCAATATTAAATTGGCAAAATTCAAAATTTTAGCAAAATTAAAAAGAATAGTTCCTAAGAAATCAAATTTTGAAAATATGATTTTTTTTCGAAATTCGATTCCTCGAGAACTATAGTCCAAATTTTATACTTGGTAATATGTAACTGCTTTCTTTAAATTGATGTCAAAAATTGCATACCTTGCAATTCAAAATTCGACTATTATTAAATAAAAAAATAATAAGTATATAATGAAAGTTATATTTTACATGGAAATATCTTTGTATAATCGAGTTTTATAATTGTATGCAAGATTTTTTAACTCGCTTAAGACATTCTCGTGATATGGTGAAAAAATGATATTCGTGATATGATTAATTCGTGATATGATTAATTCTCGTGATATGATTAAAATTATCATTAGAGGCCCAAACTTTGAACCACATTTCAAGATTGAGTCCTAAAACGTGAAGATGTGATTATTTAGGGAAAAAAGTTTGTTGGGATCAAGCATGTATATATATATATATATATATATATATATNTACTTATATATATTGTGCGCTTTACACTTTATTGTTCAATTATTATACTATAATTCTTCTTCGTCAGCACTACAGCCTAATGCAGGCCAAGGAGTTCTCAATTAGCTACCTCCAGGCAGGGCAACTTTGAGCTAGATTTTTCCACCTGTTTATTCCCAACAATTTTAAATTCTTCACAACACTGTCCAACCATCTTGTAGCTGGTCTCCCTCTTCTTTTAGTTACTTCAATTTTCGAAAAAGTAAGTTTTTTAACTAGATCCAAATCTTCACGCCGAAAAACGCTGATCCTGTTGACCTTAATAACCCTCAAAATATTAGGTAATCTATATTTATTGTATATTTCATGATAATATTATATATAAATTATACTATAATTACTAGATTGAGAAACTAAAAGCAGTTTATAAAACTAAAATAAATCGAAACAAATGGTTTTGTAAATATTTTTTAAAAAAAATAAATTCACTCATGAAAAAACACCGAACAATATTGCGAAATAGACCTGATTTGGAAATTTATACCTAAGTAAATATGGTCGAACTAAACATTTAAACGCTTCTATCTATTTCCTACATAAATGGCATACAATGAGCTAATGAATTTATACAATCACTTAGGATAATATCATCAACACGATTTCTATGCAAAACACAGTAATTAATAATCCTGCTTACCTTTGTTGTGATGTTTTTTGCCCTGTCTGCATATGCTAGAGTATTTCGTGACTCCTCGAAATGGAAGTGCGAAGGGCTGATGTGTCCCACCATTACAGTTTTGCAATTGCCCGCTAATGGTTCTTTCAGTATTCGAGTTAGTTTGCTGTCACGGAAATTAACATATCTCGTATTACGTTCAGCTGCAAAAGATAATCAGAAATAGTATTCTATACAGTGAAAAAAAAATCATTTCGCATTTTTAAAAATGAATTAATTCAAGTTTTTTTGCGAAATCATTTTTAATTTTTAATTTAATTTTTAATTTTATTTTTTAATTTACTGAATCAGATATTTAAACTCAAATGATCTTAATTTTCTTTAAAAAAACTTTTACCAATTAGATATTTTTTTTAAAATTAAAATGTCGTATGGTTATAAAAATAGATTTTTCAACATTGTTCCATGATAAAAAAAATATTTAATCTTTGTTTAAAAAATGAGTGAAATGAAATTCTACATGAACAAGTTCAATTTAAATAAAGTACACAATGTTCTTGAGTTTCCTTAAAAGCACTTAATTTTAAAAAAAAATTACGTTGGTTCGTGGTGTTGTTTTTTCAATTATGCAGTGTGATGGTTGTAAAAATTGATTTTCAACATTGAAAATAGATCGTTCATCATTGTTCAATGTTAAAAAAAACTATTTCATCCTTTGTTTTAAAAAGAAAGGAAACGAAGCTCTTTACGAACAAGTTAAATTTAAATGAAGTATACTATCCTTATGAGTTCACAGAAACATATTTTATGCTATCTCATTAAAAGAATTTAATAAAAAATTGTTCGTGGTATTTCTTTTAAAGCTATAAAATGTGATGGTTGTGAAAATTCATTTTGAAAATGGAAAATAGAGCTACAGAGCTTTCAACTTTGTTCTATGCTAAAAAGCTTCTTCATCATTTGCTTTAAAAAGGAAGGAAACGAAGCTCTTTACGAACAAGTTAAATTTAAATGAAGTATACTATCCTTTTGAGTTCACAGAAACATATTTTATGCTATCTCACTAAAAGAATTTAATAAAAAATTGTTCGTGGTATTTCTTTTAAAGCTATAAAATGTGATGGTTGTAGAAATTCATTTTGAAAATTGAAAATAGAGCTACAGAGCTTTCAACTTTGTTCTATGCTAAAAAGCTTCTTCATCATTTGCTTTAAAAAGGAAGGAAACGAAGCTCTTTACGAACAAGTTAAATTTAAATGAAGTATACTATCCTTTTGAGTTCACAGAAACATATTTTATGCTATCTCACTAAAAGAATTTAATAAAAAATTGTTCGTGGTATTTCTTTTAAAGCTATAAAATGTGATGGTTGTAGAAATTCATTTTGAAAATTGAAAATAGAGCTACAGAGCTTTCAACTTTGTTCTATGCTAAAAAGCTTCTTCATCATTTGCTTTAAAAAGGAAGGAAACGAAGCTCTTTACGAACAAGTTAAATTTAAATGAAGTATACTATCCTTTTGAGTTCACAGAAACATATTTTATGCTATCTCACTAAAAGAATTTAATAAAAAATTGTTCGTGGTATTTCTTTTAAAGCTATAAAATGTGATGGTTGTAGAAATTCATTTTGAAAATTGAAAATAGAGCTACAGAGCTTTCAACTTTGTTCTATGCTAAAAAGCTTCTTCATCATTTGCTTTAAAAAGGAAGGAAACGAAGCTCTTTACGAACAAGTTAAATTTAAATGAAGTATACTATCCTTTTGAGTTCACAGAAACATATTTTATGCTATCTCACTAAAAGAATTTAATAAAAAATTGTTCGTGGTATTTCTTTTAAAGCTATAAAATGTGATGGTTGTAGAAATTCATTTTGAAAATTGAAAATAGAGCTACAGAGCTTTCAACTTTGTTCTATGCTAAAAAGCTTCTTCATCATTTGCTTTAAAAAGGAAGGAAACGAAGCTCTTTACGAACAAGTTAAATTTAAATGAAGTATACTATCCTTTTGAGTTCACAGAAACATATTTTATGCTATCTCACTAAAAGAATTTAATAAAAAATTGTTCGTGGTATTTCTTTTAAAGCTATAAAATGTGATGGTTGTAGAAATTCAGTTTGAAAATTGAAAATAGAGCTACAGAGCTTTCAACTTTGTTCTATGTTAAAAAGCTTCTTCATCCTTTGTTTTAAAAAGGAAGGAAACGAAGCTCTTTACGAAAGAGTTAAATTTAAATGAAGTATACTATCCTTATGAGTTCACAGAAACATATTTTATGCTATCTCACTAAAAGAATTTAATAAAAAATTGTTCGTGGTATTTATTTTATAGCTATAAAATCTGATGGTTGTAAAAATTCCCTTTGAAAATTGAAAATAGAACTACAGAGCTTTCAACTATGTTCTATGTTAAAAAGTTATTTTATCTTTTGTTTTAAAAATTAATGAAACGAAGTACTTCGCGAACAAGTTCAATTTAAATAGAGTATATGATGAGCACATAAATATATTTTATGCTTTATACAATACACCAAATATAAAAGTATAGCATATATTATATGGTAAGTACAGTGCACGAAATAAAAAAGATATCTTATGGAATATCTTCCGTTCTAATGATCGGGTTAAGACAAATGAGATGAAGAAAAACTATTTAATATTTTGTTTATTCACATTATCTCAAAACTGATGTTAGAAAAACTGGCGTTGAAGGAAAATCAGATTTATGGAGCGTGAAATACAGCATCAAATGTTGCTATGAAAAGTACTAAATGTATGGTTTAATTCAAAAATGGTCATAAGGAAAATTTATGAAGCTTTTATTCCGTAACAGTTCAAAGCTGTCTTCTGGAAGTACATATATATATATATTTAAGAAAAAAAAAGTTTAAAAAAATTTTAACATTATTTTTTGCTTATAAGATAAAAGTTTATAAAGTTTTCAAATAATAGCATATCCAACTACATTCTTTTCACAGGCGTAATACCAAGAACAAAATTATGGCTGTATAATAGTCAGCAAATTTTTATTATCATTAAAAACTCAAATAATTAAATAATAATAACTTTTACTAATTGTTGCGGAAATCACAAAAAATACAGATTATTATGGATCTATTTTCAATCTAAATAAGATAAATTGGTTTTTAAAGATTAAAAAAGCAAAAGAAAATAAATAAGTAAGAAATAAATAAAAATAGTAGTTTAAAATTCTATTTAATATTTGATAAAAAGGAGACATACTTACCTAAAGCATTTATACAGTTTCCTAAGGCGAGAAGTGATTTATTTATATGAGCACCCTCAAGTAATCTTTTCCCTGTATTCTATAGAATAAAAATTAAGTAAAATCAGTTATATCTGTAAAGAATAAAATTCAATTAAAATGAACTATAAACTATAATAAATTCCCTCATAATAATAATAAATATAACCGCAAAAATAATAATAAATTCCTTTTCCCAAATCAGTTAAACTTTTATATTGTTTAACTTACAGATATTATTAAGTTTTGAACTTTCAGATTGATAAGTTATCAAAAGGTTGTTTATTATTTAAATAACTATGTTAAATGAGGAAAAAATAACCATTAAATTTTCTACTATATGTAAATTTTAAAATTTCGCATTTGCTTTAATTAAATAATAAAGTAATACCGAAACCTTACGAATAGCAACGAAAACATTTCTCCTCAGTTTTCATTAAAGCTCGTCAATGGAATATTGAAATTCTAAAGAATTTGTGTGCGTGTCTGTGGGTATGTGTGTCTGCATACCGGATTGCCATTAACTGTAGCCACTAAAAATACTGCATTCAACGTGAAGCTAAACGAGTACAATTATAAACAAATTACAATACCCGATTTAAAATTTTTTTAATAAGATTTTAAATTCAGAGACATTAAAAAAATGGAATTTTCCAATTGGTTCATAGCTCTGATCAGAAAGTTTATTGCACATTCTGTAATACCTAATTATTTTTTATTCGTTATACTAGATTATCTGAATGATCAACATGATCGTAATAGCATAGGAGGACTACCACGATCCAACACCAAATTAGTATTCCTGAAGTTATATAAAATCACGTGTTTAAGCTCATTTTCAAACAATCATATTAAAACGACTATTTTTCTTTCCACAGTCATGCGCGACAGGAGGTCCGGCATCAGCAGGGCATTATTTGCAGAAAAAATTATCTAGCATGATTTAAAATAAAAAAATTTCTTAATTTATTTATATATTTATTTTTGTGAAGATATAAGAATTCGTACATTGTCTCCGGTAGAAGAAATTGTTTTTGCAAACCTGTATATATTGTTATTTTTCTACAGAACACTTTGCTAAGTATGTTTAAATGATCTCAGATGATTACGAAATTAGACATTTAAAAATTGTTTACATACCGCTAAAACCGTTGCCGTCAAAAACTTGTTAACGTAATGTTATCGCAATTTAAAAGCATCATTAAGGCTCTTGAAATCTCAATTTAGGATCACGTAATCTTTGCGAAGGAAAAACTAAATTTAAAAATAATTGACATCAATACTACTTTAATACTTTTTCACCAAGAGAGAAGTTCGATAATCTGTTAGAATCGGCGTAATTACCCTAATTACCCGCAAAGCTAATCAACTTGTTTCTACCAATATAGAAGTTTCAAATTTAGTCCATGTATTCGTTATGGGAGAATAATTAAGACAGAAAAAAAAATTCATTTAGATATTTTGCTATCATAGGGGTAAATTAGCCTAATTGAATGTAATGATAACCAACACAATTTTACCAAGACAGATGTAAAGTGATAAGTACATTGTAGGCCGATCGGCTGTTCATCGCAGGTGGCTAGTAAATTTAAATAAAATTTAAGTAACATTACTTTAAATTAAAAGTAAAATAAAACGCAGATACCATTTAAATAAAATTTAAGTACTACTTTAATAATTTTATCTATTTAATATTTAATTACAATTCTTTCTACACTTTAATAGTTGCATAATCAGAGCGTTCCCCATATACAAAGTGTTCCATAATCTCTGTCCCCAATAAATATTTTTAAAACGTTGTTAAAAATGAAGAGAAAAAAAAACATATTGGGGGTCAAAAATTAATTTTTTAAACGAAGAAAAAAAACGAAAACGCAATTGAAATCTGGCAATAACTAAGAAAAAAGCTGGGATTAAAAATATTAAGATCAGTTTTGATCACCCGAAAAAATTTGGAGGTATTTCTAAAAGTTACATTATACCTCTTCTCAATTCCTTTTGTCAATCTAACTTGCTCCGATGTTTTAAATCCCGCCTTTCAAAAGTGATTTTAAATCAATAGTGCTTAGCATTAAAAAAGCCATTGCACATATTCATTATTATTTGTCCTTAAAATGCAGCAAAACAGTTAATGGAAAAAAAACGTGTTGTAACTATAAAGTTAAAACTAGTTAGGTTGATGTTTATTTGCTTTTATCAGCTCTTCAACCTCCTAATATGGGTCTTCCATCTCGAGTTGGTGGATACAAAGTGAGAGTAAAACTAACCGGTAGATTTCATTAAGGCAAACGAGCCTTCACCGAGGATTTTTTAAGTGGAACTCACCGCCATTTGCGTTACATGGAGAGGAAAACCACAAACATTTCCCACGATTAGCCCGACATATCACTATCCGATTAGCCCGATTGAAGAGCTTCTATGGTAGTGAACCGAGGAAATTAATGTCAATGGTATACCAGTTTGAAATTCTCGCTAAAATGCATAGTAAAAAGTGTTATGAATGCAAGATTACTTCCTTCTCTAAAATTAATACATCCACAATGCATAAAATAGTGTTTTGCTAGATTTTAATCATTTTTGTTTCGATTAAATATTATTTTGAAATCCGTTTTTTAGAATATTTTTTACATAATTTTTTAAATGCATCCACGGTGCATAAAATAATGTTTTGATAGATTTTAATTATTTTTGTTTCGATTAAATATCAGTTTGCAACCCTTTTTTTTTTAAAAAAAAGGGTTTTTTATAATTTCTGAAAATTCAATGTGATTACGAAATCTCTGTATGCCACAAGTTCTAAATGAAGACATTTCGTAGATTGAAAACGTCTTTTAATAAAACGAAGACAGAGTTTTCTTTGGAAATTGATGTATTTGCTCATGTTATCAACTATTATCAAAAATTTTAGAAATATTGTTAATTATCCTTAAATATAATTAATTTAAGCTACCTGCGTTTGTGCTGCTCTTTCAGATCCTGCTAAATCTACCATATAAAGTCTTCCAGTTCGTACCACTTGTTCATGACTGTGGGCTGGACTTCGTTTCTTCACCTGAACAACAAGAACTGCGTGTGAACGGGATGAAGTTGCATTCGCACCTGTTGATTCTTGAGTCCTTCGCTTATTTCCTCTCATCAACAGTGACATAACCTAATTAAATTACAGAGTTCAAGAAAAAAATATAAAATAAATCCGATACTATAAAATAATCTTAATTCGAAAGCTAAAAGTTCTTTTCAAAGAAAGAAAATAATTCTTTCGATATCCGAAAATAAAAAGTTATTGTTCTCATATTCATTAACTAGGCCAACTTGGCACCCCGCCGGCCGAGTTAATGGCCTAGTTAATAGTCGCAATAGCCTAGTTAGCTGTAGTAAAGTGACTGATGCATGGTTAAATCTGTCGAGTCGCAAAAGCCCTCCATGTTCCCATAGCAAATCAGAACCTCTGGGGGTACTGGATTGGAGATCGATCGTTCTCTGATTCAGGTCAAAATTACGATCTGTTGATGAATGAATGGATGCATGAATGGGTCCACCCTATAAACGGGTGTGACGTATGGTGCGGCAGAAGTCGAATTCTTGGCCATAGATGGCTCCACTGGAAAACAAGAACAATCGCACCCCGTCTGCCTAAACAGGCATACTTCAACAACAGATGCATTTGATAGAAATCAATACATAACATTGAAATGAAAATATATTCTATTATAGTAAAAATTGAACAAATAATATTTTATGAAACATGAAATAATAAAAAATAAATAGTTAATTTAAAACAACGAAAGTGTTTTATAATGTTCCCAGCCAAGACAATCTTCGTAAAAGCATTATTTGTGTTTCACATTGTAACAAAAAAAAAAAAAAAAGATTGTGACGTAACAGCATTTTTTTAATGCAGTCTTGGAAATAATGGGTTCCGTGGGAAATAATGAGTTCCGTGACTATTGGAGCTCGCTCCAAATTACTCAAACTTTTGAAAAATAAACAATAGTTAGGCATTCAACTTTTCGAACGATCCAGTTTATAGTTTTCATAGGACGTCCTTATTCTTCATTTAATAGTAATTCTTGTTTCAATATTTTAACAAATTCTTTCAGAAATGAATAATGAATGAAAAAAAAAATGAAAAATTTTTTTTCTTTAATGAAAAAAAAAATTAAAATCCTTAAGAATAATAAAATACAATTCACGATTTTTAGAAATGTACGGAATATTCCTGCTGAATCTGGTTTAATCTTTCTGCTGAAAATACACCAATCAAATTGTCAATTTCTAAATGTATGTTTCATATTAATTTTTATTTTGATTAAAAAGTTGCGATAAAAAAGTTGCGATAAAAAACACAGTCGGCGCAGTGTTGAAAATATTTTATATTGAAATGAAAAGTTCGAAAGCTTTCGAAACATTTTAATTCAACACAAAGTGGTTTGTTTATGACAAAAAGAATAGGATGTAATTTCTTCAGTCTTGTCTCAAGATTAAACTTATTAAACTTTTTTGTTCGTTAACGAAAGGTAGTGTCAGAATACTTTATAGCCAGATCCAAAAACTCAAAGTCTCATTCTATGTTTGGGCAAAAATTATTATTATTTTTTTTTTGCCCTTTTTCAAAGATTTAAATTCAATTGCAATTGTTATCTTCTTTTTAAAAAGAAGAAGAAAAAAAAGACAGTTTACGCCAGAAAAGAAAAAAAGAATGACATTTAAAAATATTAAATTTTGGAAAAACATAAAGTGATTTTAGGAATGTTCATTATGAAATATTTCAGTTTGGTTACATGTTTTACCCTTTGTTTAAAAAAGATCAATGACGGGAAAATAATTAAAAAATACATATTTCTATAATTAATATTTAACATTTTGCTGAGCTCCGAACATCGTTCACGCTATGATACAGATACAAATTTCTGGAGCATGACTCCGATACCAGAGATATAAGTGAAATACAAGTTAAGGAGAATGAAACTGAGAATTCTAATTGTATTCTTTCCAAGAAGTCTCGTTTAGCCTTTATTTTATTTAATTAAAGGATTACGGCTTCATATTTTTTACGTCACAGAATTTCAAAAATTTTTTTTTAATTTTTTAGGAATGGCTCAGAAGTATACAAATGTTTGGTTGTAGCGAAGTAAAGAATTTCAAGCTTTGGGGAGTACATAAATTTTTTTGACCTTAAGCATGTTTTGTAGCTTAAAAACGTTATTAATAATGCTGTTTTTTTTTAAATTTTACGATATTTTCATACCTTATATAATTCTCATCCACAGAGTCGTATCGTTATATATATATATATATA